AGGTCATATACGTAATCAGCGACCCCGAAAACCCCCGAGTAATAAATTTCAACTGTTTTCCATGTAAAGAAAAATGTGTGCTTCAAAGGGTTAAGCTTAACCTTATGATCATATAAAATAGTATTTTCTTATCAATAATTAATCATTAAATAGTGATTAATCATTAAATAGTAATAGTTTTGTAATATGAATTTTAAAATTATTAAAACTAAAAAACTATCAGTTTGATAATTAATTATAGATAGCAAAACACAACTTTTACGTAATTACGGATAAGATTTAAATTATGTATTTGAATCAGACAATGAAAAATCAAGTCTCGACGAGATAAAATAAATTGAGTATTATCCAAATCTATGTTTGTAGAAGAAAATTTAAGATAAAATTATTACGTATACAGGATGTATGACTTATTAATAGATATGAGATATCTATAACGGAAAAATAATTTTTAAAAGTAAATATTTTAATAAAAAATTTTAATTTAGAGAATTTATTATTAGCAGAAAATGTCTGCTACTTTTTTAATCTATAAGAGAAAAATTAATCCAACAAAAATTATTTTTGGTAGATAATGACACAAAGCCTGTTCTTTTATATTGGATTGCGCTAAAACTTCTTTCTAATTTTTGCTAAGTTTAAAATATATGTCTTCACTCTAAGTACAAGTATACACCACTTTAGTTACAAACAATAAACTAATAATAATTTTTATTAATTAATGTGAGAGAGAAATAAAGAAATAGATAGATAGATGGATAAATAGAGAGAGAGAGAGAGAGAGAGAGAGAGAGAGAGAGAGAGAGAGCGCGCGCGCGCGCGTGTGTGTGTGTGTGTGTGTGTGTCTGTGTGTCTGTGCGCGCGAGCGTATTTATATATTTTTTAGTATTTTCAAAACAAATTGTAGCTCATTTTTTATCTGTCAAACTTAACAATCACATTGTTAATCTTATTGCTCGATCCTACGTGTTCTAATTTTCGACTAGACAATCTTCAAGTTAATCAAAATTATCAGATAACTAGAAATTGTCAGTGTGTAATCGATTGCACAAGTCTAATGATATTTGTATTTTTAGAATTTTTTTATTTATCGGGCGATATGTCACTATGTAATAAATATTTTTATCGAGCGATGATTATATATAAGACAAATATTAGTATAATATAGTAAATTTCCGCGACGCATTTTAATGGCCAGCGTAGAATGTCAATAATCTAAATATCGCTCGTAATTACAAAGATAAGTATTAATATAATACGGTAAATTTCCGCGACGCATTTTAAGGCCAGCGTAGTGTCAATAATCTAAAAATGATTAAATAATAAATTTAAGTATTGATAATTATATATTGTATATAAAATGAAATAAACCAGTCACGATTTAAATAGAAAGAATTTCCCTTTTTTTTACAGGAAATCTACAAAAAGGCAGTTTATTTTATAACTTACTTATTAGTTTATCATAATAATTTAAATTTTAACACATTTTAGCAAACTGATACTCAATAGAAGGATTTTAGAAATTTATATGGTATAATATACATACATATAATGATAGTTTAAAAGTTATAGAATAAGTGTATTAGTAGTAAAAGAATCTATCTAATCAACACATATATAGAAATATGTTCAATTTTTTATCGTACTTTAGACTTGCTGAATAATTCAAAAAAATTTCCATGCTCCGAATCATGCTCAGCTAATCATTGATAACGATGAAACGTAGATAATTAGATCGATTTTATCTCATATGAGTCATATAACGTAGTAAAAGGGCTAATTTCATGAATTCCAAATCTAATTTCATCATTTTATATATGTTGGAGTTGCATAATGCCTCGTCCAAACACATTGCAACTAAATAAAAATTTTATTGAAAAAATTTTAAGAGGCTACTTGATTTATAAAATTCCTTATTTCGTGAGTTGATAAAATGTTACGCAATTATTTTTTTTATGAAGGAAATAAAAGAATTTATATTCTTTAAATTTTTTACTAATTCAAAATATAATCTGATTTGATAAAATATATTTTTTATTCAAGGTAAAGTAATCTAAAAAGAGCATTTAGAATTTTAAATTTATACCTTATACCCGATGTAAATATTTTATCTAAGCCTACATGCAATTTTTTTCAATTATGCTAAATATCTAGGAAACGTGTCTATAAATATTATATAAGACAGAGTATAAGGAAATCTGTATGTTATAGATTTGAGATGCGCTTCAAAATTTATGTCGTTTGCTACCAACCAAATAACTTTCTGTGTCACAGTCATAAAATTAATAATACATATGCATAAAAAGAGTTTTTTCGACCGTTTTTAGGCCTAAACTGGGGGTGGAATTAAAGTTCATTATCGAATTATCACAGATCTGCGAGGTCCGATATTACAAGAAGAATGATTCAGCTGATGAAGGCAAGATCGTAGTTAATCGCAGTTCTACGTAAATAATGATCGTTTTAAATGTAAAAAAATCGAGTTTTTGCGCAAAAAGACGTAATACATGACCTCTCGCTTTAGCTCTGATAACAATTGTTAACTTGAAACTTCTCTGTAATTAATGTCTAATTATGAGGTATCATTTAGCATACAGTTTAGCTAAAATCGAGAGTCTAAAATTGAGCAATTTTACTCTTTTATATTTTTATTGTGCATGTAGTTGTAGCAGTGCATGATTTTATATGATTTTGTGTATTTATATTTTAAAGAATATAAAACATTTTGAAATATTCAGTATCTTATGCAAATATCAAAATTGTGATTTTAGACACTTAACTCGAGAAAAATTTTTAATGTATGTAATGAGAAGAGAAGCGGGTGGAGAGGGAGATGAAAGTAGGGGTGGAATAGGAGGTGGGAGACAATCCAAGAGAAGACAAGGAAAATTGTAACGATTACATATAATGGGATAAATTTTTATTTGTGTTTATGATAGAAATAACGTCACTCATATAGTTTCGCTAGTTATGCAATATAATTATCAGGAAGATTTATATATTTATGATCGTTCGATATTGATTCACATAGGTTCGACGTTTAGACAACATAATTACAATGCTCATACATCAGTTACGCATTTCGTCAATAATACATATAAAAAGCGCAATACAAAGATATCTCACTACTACGTGATATAACTCGCGAATTACCGAAGAGGAAGAGAGAGAGAGAGAGAAAGAGAAAGAGAGAGAGAGAGAGAGAGAGAGAGAGAGAGAGACAGACAGGGAGATATCTAGGAGTACTTATCTCAGCCTTTTACGATGCTGCCGAAGCCCGTCTTACAATTAGATGTGAGCCACGCTTCGTCAATTATCCAGACCTCGTCATCAGCATGTCGTCAATCTCGATTGAGTTTATCTTAATTACCACAAGCAGTTGCTTCTGATTTTCCTCGGATTTCGTATTGCCGCTAGCGATTAGCTTTTTGATAATGATCTGCCGTCAATAGCTTTATAGTCGTCTCAATTCGGTGATCAGTCCTGAAACGTGTCTTCGACTGATTCCAAATTCCATTCTTTCTTTTCTCTTCCTGGATTGTCTCCCACCTCCTATTCCACCCCTACTCTCGTCTCCCTCTCCACCCGCTTCTCTCCTCATTACATACATTACAAATTGTAGTTAAAATTAAAGTTTATCATAAAAGTCGTATGTTATATAAAAATCTTAATACAATTGTAAATATATAAAAGTATAATTTTAGCATTACGTGCAATTATACAAAAAGTTGGAAAGAGCAAAAAATATTGAATCGTCTTTTATTTGTTATGGAATCTCGCATGTGCAGGATGTGATATTATCTATATTTCAACTGAAATATCTTTGAATCCATAAGAGAAAATGTAGATAACCAAACTTGCATGAAGGGAGCTATTATACGGCGATAATAATTTTTGTCCAGGTGGAGACGCTTCGAAGATTTCAAGGTCAATTTCGTTTTTTTTTTAAATGGAATTATGATTTTTTATATAATATAATTTCTCAAATTATTCTGCATATAAAAATATTAAAGTAATCGAAAAATTAATATTTTACGAGATATTTCATACTTTATCGTGCTATATTCCGACATAAAATATTTCGCAAACTTAATACTTTTATGAACGGAACAAGATGACTCGATTGGTGTAAAAAAAACACTCAGTGTGCTTTGCAAAACAATGTAATTTTTACATTTTTTAAAAAATTACATATTTTTTTAAAGTAAGAAATTTTTTTTTAATAAAAAAGAAAGACAATTTTGGGACAAATCTTTTATTTGGATAAACTTCCGAAAACGACCCACCTCCGATTTCAATGAAACTTTGTCAAAAGCTTTAATTTGGGCTAAAATAAGATCGGAAGAGCACACGTC